TCCGGCTTCAGAAGCTTTTAAGGGCAAAGAATTCGGAACTGGTGATAACCAAAGCCCAGTACACAACGTTGCAGGAAGTAAGTTCTGTTACTTTGATTTTGTTGCCTGCACACTCTTCTTGCATACCTAGACCAGTTTTTCTCAACTTGCCAGCTTTGAGAAGGTTTGGGATTTGTAGTTTTACCAGGTCTTTAGCCTTCTCTGCCAAAGACGGCTGGTGTCTCCCAAAACTACAAATCCCAATATTCTGTAGGCTGGAGCCATGGCAGTTGAAGTGGTGTCAAACCGCATTATTTCAGCAGTGTAGATGCAGATGCACACACAATCTGAGAACTAGAAGCTGCTAGAAATTAGGAGTAGAAAAATTGTTTTCTTGGGGAAAATATCTTTCTGTCGCTCAGCATACATTCCATTAATATAGTGTTTTACTTTCTCTCCCCTTAGGCTTATGAGATTCAGCTCCAGCAGGTAACTTTCCTAGTTCTGCTTGGTGAGGTTTAAGCTTGGGTCTACGAGTTCCACAGGGCTCTAGATCTCATGATCTTTGTCTTTCCTTTTCTTCCTCTGTCTTCTCCAGAACCAAGAGGCATTAAGGTCAACAAGTGAGGCTTTGTTGGCTCAGGTTGAAGAGCTCAACACTCTCTTGAAGGAGGAGACCCAGAAGGTTACTATGCTGGAGAGTCAACTGGAAATCCTTTCCCCCTTGCAGGGGACACTGAAAGATGTAAGGAGATTCTGGACTGCACACTGACTAAATTGCTCCTTCATTAACTTAGCAGGAAGGAGAAGAAAGGTAGAATCTCGCCCTTCCCAGTAGGCTCAGGCAAAATCAAACTACTGCAACCTCTCCTAGCTTGTGTGTTCTTCATTAATAACTTTTGCCATATTGATCACACTCTGATATTGCTAGGCAATGTCTTGGTTTTCCTCTGTGAAATGTCAGAAGGTAAGATCACATTTGCACCTTTCTTAGTTTCAGGAGCGAGTCCGGGACCTGGAGGCAGAACGAGATTTGCTGAAGATGGATTATGACAAAATCTTGGAGAGGTGAAATTCTTTTTGTCAATCACATATTGTTCTCAGGTTTACAACCCCTGAAAAGATGCCATTTGTTGTTTTAGGGTTTTGGAGTAAATATGAGAGAGGGTTGTTGTTATTAACTGCCCTTGAGTCAATTTTGACCAATGGCGAACCTATGGATGAGACATCTCCAAGACCCTCTGT